AAATTTGATAGACACAGGACATTATCTTGTATTATTTTTGTAGACTGCCTATTGAAAGTGCTTAGTATTATGTGATCTTTGAATGGTTACCATCATTATGCATCTTTCTGTGACTTTCTGGAAGCTTCCAAGGAAACTCACGAAGTGATAACTAAAACACCTTGAGATTTTATCGAGTTCCTTTGGTTGACTTTTACCCTTTATAAACAGGTTTTGATAACAATGATTGATATTGTCTTCTCATATGCCACATTTCCAGCTTAAAAAAAAAAGATTAATTAGAGTTTCATGGAACATACTGAGTCAAATTTGGTAACCAGTAACCATGTCATTTCAGAGAACTCTTGTGTGAAACTCAGGCAGCAGGTCTACATGTCAGAAAACAGAAGATTTTTAAAACAATTGTAACAAAGGAGACTAATATTTTATGATTGTGTGCCAAAGTTTAACACCAACACCTTCCTTTGAAGGGAGCTTGTTCTGAATGGAACTAGTGGGCTAATAAGAGGGAAATGATTTTTATATTATTCTGAGGTGGGTGCTTTAGAGAGGTTGTCACCTAGTTCAAATCTAATTGAAAACACTGGAAAAATACTGAATGATACTCTAGGAACTTCCCCATAAGCAGAGTGTTTTAGTGCTGTAAATAATGTGAAATGTGGAAGTGATAAACATCAGTACACAGTTGTTCCAAGGCCACTTAGTGCTAACTCAGGGTTAAATTTCAATCTAGGTTTCTTTATTCCTTTGTTCAAAAGCCTTTTTAAGATAATTTTCTTTCTTCTATTTAGAGCATCCTTTTATCAAATTGAGGAGAAAATAAATTTATACTGACTTTCAGATCTGAAATCTGATTTCACAGAAACCCTGGGTTATCTTAACTCAGCTTTGAACATACCCCAAAATTAGGATCAAGTTATGTGCCCAACTCTTAACAACAATAGAGTCAAATTCAGAAAATGAGGGGAGCTTGCATAAATTTTAAGTTCTATATTTTCTAATACCCTATTTCAGTTTCAAAAATCTATAATGTTTGATGAATTTGTGATGCAAGATTGCTCATGTCTTTCCTAGCCTGTGCACCATTTGACTAGAGATTGAGACCACCACTAAACTAGTTATCATTAATTTAACATACATACAAGCACTATGTCTGAGTCCTGATGCTGACATGGGCAGTTGGCGAAGTGGTGTTGGGGTTTTCACTGATCTCAGCAGTGAGGAAGCCGTGTGTAATTGTTGCTGTGGGGTAGAAAGAGCCTCATCCAACAGATGAAGTGCTAACATGAGGGTTAAGGAAACTTGAATTCCCTTGCAATTGTTTCAATCAATCAACTTAACACACACAACAGAAACTGAAACAGTGAAGCTTGTTGTGAGTAACTGTCCAAAATAATGCTTGCTTTTAAAAGGTCAACAAAAATTCAAAACTAGAAGTAGTGCTATCCAACCTATCAAAAGTTGCAAATATTTGACCAACTTTCTATCAACTGAATAAATAATTACACTTTTTTTAAGTAATGAAACTTGCCACATGAATTAAACAACAGTCATGAGAAGAAAAATGAAAAGTCTTTTCAGCCATTAAATTTTCCATGAGTTTCTCAGTTCTACCACAGCATCATCAATCCAACTAGGTACATGTATATAAGAATGTTAGTATTAGTATGTAACTTATAATTTATGCAAAAGGATACATTTCTGAATATGGCTTCTTCGTTTCAAAATACTGTTTACATCATCCTGTAAGTAAATATTTAAGATAAGAACATAAATATGTCTTCTTAGTATTGTGCAGAACTAAGTTTCTTGGCTCTTTAGCGCTTTTTGAGGACAACTGGCACTGAACAAAATTTGCAACACATTTCTGAGAATCTTGAGGCACTTTTTGTTCAGCAGTAAATAATGATAAGAACTAAAATTTTGGGTTAGATTTGTTTCTCCTGAAGGTGCAGGGTGAACTTTCCAAGGAGAAGAAAAGGTAGGCTTCAGTGAGAAAGTATAAAAAAGATCAAGTTCACCAGAAAAGTGACTATTCTGTATCGTTATTCCTCTCAAAACAAGATAAATCTAAACTATTCTCAAATAAGTGACTACTGAAGTATATCTAAAAAATTTGAGAGAGGGAGAACCATTTTGGAGACCATTTCGGTTAGAAAGACATCAGTTATTTAACAGAGCTGTCACTAATTTTTCAAGTAGGCAGGAAAATGAATGATTAAAAGTGGCACAGCACAAAATTTTCATGGTGTAAAACTGCCTGGGACAAGGAAGAGGAGGGGCAGGGAAGGACAGGGGCAAGGATGGAGATTTAAGGAACAATAAACATTGTTCTAGATAGATCATTATTATTCATTTTCTGGAGATTTTTTTGATACTGCTGTTCCTTTTCTTCTATAGCATTGACAAAACCATGACAAATTTTGATAATCAAAAATGATTTTATTGTGACAAAACACTTAAGGCAGACCACCAAAATTGATTTTATGACTTTGCTTGTATTAATTTTGCACAAAACTTAATGAGCAAATTTTTGAGATAAGAACAGCATTACAAGTGAAAAGGAAAAGATTCTCCATGCCACAGGTACCTCTCTGGCTTTTGTCACTTCTGCTGGTATAGGACCAAATTTCTGTTTCAGGCCTGATCTGTTTGGAACATGAATACAAGAATATCATGATTTTCATTATAATCATACCATACAAGGTTAATGAACCGGGAGAGTTTGTAATTATCTTTCTTTACAAAACACCCAACGTCATCATTCAGCATTGCCACAAAAAAGTACCATGAACACTGACAGATAAGCCACACTATTCCCCCAAAGTGATCACATCAAAACATTAGTGCAGCTTATCTGCGACAAAATCTGAAAGATATGCCACAAATTTGGATAAATTAATGTTATTCACTGAAAATGTATAACAGACTTATACCAGGGTACAAACTGATTATTGCTTTTACAAGTTTGGTGTTCTTAAGGAGGTTTCTTTTGTTCAAAAGCATAAGCTTAATATATTTCTTTCAGTTAAACCTTCTTCATTAACCCTTTGACCTCTAAGAATAAGCAGCAGCTAATTTCTCCTTTTAATATCCATCCTGAATCAAACATAAATGTCACAATAGAGTATGAACCAATCAACAATTAAAGAAGCCCCTGCCTGTTGAATAAATTCTCCCTGTTAAGACATTAGGAAACATATGGAGAACAGTATGGAGAATGTACATACTGATGTTAGGATGAAAAGGGTTAAGAGACCTTTTAACTGGTTTAGGGTCACCTTCCTTGGACAGCTCAACGTTAACTGACATGGGGTTTTGGAGTAAAAAAAATTATGCTATGTCTTGTACTGCAATGAAAATTAATGTTTTAAAAGCTACTTGGGTCTGATACCCCTTTTTTCTTATCAAATTCCTCACTACTAAGTTACTGTACAAACAATTAAATGAATGAACTAAAGTTTTCCTATTATTTTATTATAAATTCAATTTAAAATCTGACAGGAACTGTGCATTCTAAAGCATTTGTATTAATTTTTTCTTTTATCAAGAGGCTATAAGTGTTAAGACTATTTTGAAACTCTTTTCTGTCTTTTCTGTGTACATTCCACTATGATAGCAAGACCTCTGTTTGAGATTTTCCTGTAATAACCTCAATCCCTGTTATTAAGCAGTCAGTTATCAAAACTACTCTCTTAGACTCTTAATCTTAAAAAAGAGAGCAGTTGTGGTACTTATGTAACATTTGTGCCCTTCCTAATTTGCATAATCTGTAATTAGCCCATAGGCAGGACTTCTATATTATGCCCTGCCCTGATCTTGCTCTTAACCAATCAGAGCACATGTTATATTAGCCACAAACCAAAGCCACACAATAAATGTTAATAATACTACAAGAACACAAACCTTTGAGTTTGGATTTGAGCTTCTTCTCTGTGATCAATACCTGTATCCATTGCCTTGCGATCACAGTTCTGTTCTTATAGAGGCACTAAAAAAAATAGAGAATTCACAAAAAATTAAATTTATTCACCCAAGTGATGACTTCACTGAAAATGAGGTGAGTGATACATAGGTACCATCATAACCAGAGACAGAAATTTCGTTTAAAGATCTTTCTATACATGGGAAATATGATGATCAGAAAATTTAAAAACACGAGGAAAACAACTCCATATAATTGTTCCTTGTTCAGAAAAAATCAGAAAATATCAGAAAATAACACGATTTCTGAGATCTTAAAATTTATTGTCTCAAAGGAAAAAATACAGTTTATGCATTATATACCTTGCACGAAAGTTTACAGGAGCAAATTTGATTTTCTGTTAAGGATGAGGAAATCTTAAGATCAACATAATCAAAACGTGTTTCTACTGCAGGGTTGACTGTTGCAAAAAAAAAAATCAATCAAAGTGGCTATGAGCTTCTGAAAATGAATCATGAAAGGGTAAGATGTTAAGGTCATGATCATCGAACAGACTTTGCATTTTGAAACTAACTCCGGCCTTAAGTCCCCGAAATCAGCTTAAAATGTCAAAGTACGTTCTGCACTCTTCGCCCAATGGATAGTGCATCTTCACTCAAGCGAGAGTTCTAGGGATCTTTGCTACTTCTTAGTGCAGTGCAATTTTCGATCGCTCGAGTTTTCCATTTAATCCTCAATTTTTCAAAGGTGCAAGTTTTCACAGTGCGACTACTTGTAACGTGCATATTCCTTCAAACAATGTACCTACCGAAGATAATTGATCGTCCACCCCTCGGGATACAATTCTGAGCTTTGAAACTCCGAAGCGGACGGCTGCCTTTCTACTCTTATGACCAAATAGTTCTGTTCTCTCTGATAAATTCAAGTAATGCAGAGAGTTCCTTTTATTGCTAGTTCGATGTGACTGTTGCCGCCATCAAAGAAGGAATCATTGACTCGTGCCCAGAGTTTCGCGATTACTATATTTCAAGATGGCGGCTGGTCTTAGAGTCCAGTACTACTCCCTAAGACGCCTTGCAAATCTACGTCGACGGAAGCATGGCAGGAGTGCGTGGAAAGAAATCGCAAAGGCAAAAGCGTGCTAATACGACAAGGCCCGGTCTTAAAAGGAAAAAGAAAGAAAAGAAAGTGAAGGTGTTAAAGTAAGTTACTTCATAGTCTTGCATAAAGGTGTATGTAAGGATCGCAATTAAAGATTTCTTGCGCACTTCGTTAGCGTTCGAAACACTAGATGAAAGATTTACAGAGTACTTAATGGAAAGTCTGCTCATATGGTATTTACGCATGAGTTGGTAGTATCGGAAATCGAACGAGTGAGATTTCTGATACTTAGACCCAAAGCAGTTGTGGGAAAACGAGAAGTCGTTTTCAGTGTAAGAGCATTTTGCCCACCTTATCTTGAAGTTAGTTTGGTTAAACTCTTACAAGCGGGTCTGTTATGTACAGGTGTAAGTGCCTATGTTCCTTTCTTTTTGCTTGTTTAAATATCTAGCCTTTAGTAGTTTCGCCCAGTTTTATGCTAGTTTTTTCACTGCACGTTTTCGCAACCTTGTGATAAGTGGTGAACGTTGTTCACGTTACGTCTGAATGCTACTCAATTTACTCATTTGGCTAGTTAATAGTTTGTGTTAGAGTTCGTTTTTAAGCAGGTCTCGTTTATCCTCTCGAAGAAATAGTTTCTTTAATGTGTGTCTTAGCATAACTTGTGTCTTGGTATCGGAATGTTTGCAATGTTATTTTTTGGACTGTATTTTAGAAATTAGATTAGGTTCTTCCGTATAATTTTCATATTTCGGTTTATGATAAATTTTTAAATATCTCGTCTATGTTAAATAGAACAATTTAAGGCTTGTCTGTAAAATAAATCCCTGCTTTATTTTGGGTCTTTACTTGGGAAACTCAGTGGTCATCAAAACTTTCTTTGCCTTTGTCAGCCACTACACAGAAGTAATACTCCTGATTTGACTTCCCTATTGAAATTGTAGGACTTGCTTGGTTCTCAGCTTCTTCCTTCAAATAGGGTCACCCTGTTAAACTCAAGGTATCATATTTCAGACCTTCCTTGTGTCACAAATTAAGCAGCTCTCTTAGGCATTAGTCACAGATTAAAATGGTAAAATGCTCTTCAAAAATTATTTTTTCCTCAAAGTTTTCACAAAGTGCAGATCACATCTATTTCTATAAGGAAAACTATTTTTTTTAATTACTCACCAGAGATGCCTTTGTGTCACTGCAAGAATTGGAAAAATTATATCATAGTTTTCTGATTTAAATGTTAAAATGTTCTTTCTTTAAAGAAAAATGTTTCCTTGAAAATGTGCCCATCACACCTATTAAGATATTTCTGCAAGGAAAGGTTTTCTTTTAGTCATGATCCATCCTGAACTTATTGTAAGATGTTTATCTTCTTCTGTAGTGTCAGGGCAATAACTGAGATTATGGCATCTTGGGTTTTTTTTAGGCACAAAATAATGTGTTTTAAAGAAATTTTTCTATGTTTAGTGTACATGTATGTTGTACCCAATAATCTCTTGTGCGAATGTTGATCTACCAAGATACCCTGAAAGAAACAAGTGACATTGGGTCAAAACTGGGTGAATTTGACATTCTTTTGTCACTTGCCATCACTCTTTTTGATAACATATGTGGCTTTGCCTCCTATAGGAGGCATTAGCCACAAAAAATCATATGGCCAATACACAATGGCATTGTTTCTACCTTTGACATGACTTTTTTTATGGCTTTGTTTAGAGTAAATCCCAGCACTCATATGATAAAACAGTCTTACTACATGCAATTTATCAAAATTTATTTCTAGACTTAGAGCAATTCTCTTCTTTTTTTTACTTTTATGACTTCTGGTGCTCATTGAGTTGTCGAATGCAACTTGACTTAATCCTGTAGATACCCATGCTGTCAATGGGAGTGCTCTTGGATGGGGTATGGCATATATTTATTCATTAAGGATGGTTGAAAACTTATGCCTATATTGGATCACAGAACTGATGAGGAAAGTCAGGATGGAAAGGCTGTGAATGATCGAAAGCCACTTTGGTGAAATTTTGTTTGTATGAGAACTGTCAAAATTTGCGCAAATGCGGTACTGCTCAAACATATGAAAGTTTACCTTCTGGCTATTAAATCTTTGGTTCTCAAAAGTCTTGAGAATCAACAATATGATTTCCTGTGGGTGGGTGCTTATTTGGGGAAGGGTGCCTATTAACCCTTTAAGTCCCAGTGTTGATCAACCAGAAACTTCTCCCTACATGTATATTATCCATACATTATCAAGCAAACAGGTAATGAGAATACTCAAACATATCAGGTAGAAGTTGTTATCTTGATCTAACACCAAATTCTTGTAACTAATTCAAAAGGGAATGTGTAGCAGCTAGAGGGGAGAACTGACAATCAGATCTTGGGAGTTAAAGGGTTAAAGTGTGGGCATTTATAGAGGAAGCACAGCTTTCAGTAAACTTGATCCATTATTGCTTTAAATTTTTTCATTACTGAAATAATGTTGGTTCTTAATTCCTATTATTTCATTTATGCCATTTAAACAGGTTTGGTACATTTGTGTAGCTGTAACATTTTTCAATTATTTCTCCCAAAGCCAAACGTTACGTAAGAGCTGGGACCAAGAGAAAACACTGAAGCAGAATCTTCAGATTCTTGGTTTGGCTTTTGATGCTAATTCTGCTGTTCCTATCCCAAAGTCAAAAACCAAGGTCAGTGCACACCATTTTTAGCTTATTTTTAATGTGCTACATGAACAAAAATTATGTTTCTAAAAACATGTCACATCTGTATACACTGTATATGTTGAGTTGGAATGATAATTATTTGTTAAATGATACATGTGTTGTATTTATAGTCATCAGTGTAATTTGTTTGTCTATGTGTAGGTAGGGAGACTTTTCAAATTGCCTTTTTGTCTATTGTCAAAGATTTATCAGAATTGGACATTTTGGAAAAGTGTTTGCTTATAACATACAACACAACAAAATTATATCTTCAATGTCATCTTAATGCTTCTTACAAAACATGAGCATGCTACACATACAAGACTTATCACCTAGGTACTGAGCACATGGTCTATAGGTCATTCATATACCAGCCCTGCAGTCTTTCAAGAAGATGTGATAATCTTTCTCAACTATTCACAATCCTCAAGCCATGTTGGGGTCATTGCAACATGTATTTGATGAAATACATCAAACTAATTACATTTGTTAGGTAAAGGAAAAATTTACTTGAGATTTGTGTGGCTAAATTTTCCTCCAAATCATGAAAGTTGCATAATGGTAGGACTGGTTTTACTGTAACTCTACTAGGAAAATAGTAAGCTTAAAATGGACCACTTGCATATGTGTGAATAGGGTTGTAAAGATGAACAAGCAGAAGCCATGGAAGTAGACCAAAAGGAACCAACAACAGTTGTTAAAGGTAAAGCTGTGCTTGTGCTTGACTTATCGTAGAGGAAAGTGAGTAATGTTCCAATTTTTTTTTGAATTGGAGGTAGGTTTGATTTTATAGTATGAAAAGAATATTCTTGAATTAGTTGAAGAGGATAAAATTCCATGTTAAAACCATGATGTTATCATAGCTCTCAAAGCCACTTTGAGTGAACTCTTCAGGGTGCCCTGGCTAAACTTGGAATATGCAGAAGTGAGAATGGGCAAAATTCTTGTCGCAAGAGATAATTTTAAATAAATGGAAAAGTTGTGGCCATTTTAAATTTCACATCTGAAAGTTTCAATTGTTTTTATCTTGTTGTGGAGAAGTCCAATGTGGATTGCAAAATTTCTAGCAGAGTCCTCAGCTTGAACAAAGCAGAGTAACATATCAAGCTAAGAAAATTTGGTTATCACTTAGTTGCATATGTTTGTCTGCCTGTACATACATAGAAGGTGTTACTTTTGGCATGTACAACCAGCTGCATCATTCACACTTCTGCATACCCATGTTCCTTTCTTAGTATCTCCTTACTTCTTAGCTCACCAGTTTATACAGATTTTACGTTTTGTGAGCAGTTTGTCAAGAAGGACTAAGCACCCATTATCTCTTTCATAACATTATCTTTTTATAGATTGATTATCTTAAAGGAAATGATGATTATTGAAATTTTATACAGTTTGAACTTTGAAAATTCAGCTTCTCTGTTCTTCTTTAGGTTTCCTAAATCATGTACATGTACCTCACAATACACTATAAATATTTTGATACTCTGAAGAAACATTTCTAATTCCCTAGTTGTTTCTTTTCCTGTTTAGAATTTGAGCAAATGGCTGCTAATGAAAGGAAAGGTGAAAGGCATATTTCTCCAGGTGAAGTGCAGTTTCTATGGCAACTTATTGGTGATCATGGCAACAACTACAAAGTAAGTTATATTAAAGAGGAATTCTCCATGAACATGCACTTCTCTAACCACATGGTATATAAATAACTTTAAATATGATAGGCTGCTGTGCACATTGTGCACTCTGATTTCCTTTTGCAATTGTCAGAGTTGGTGCCCCCCTACTTACTCACACACTAAGATAGATCACTCAGAATGAAAAGTCATTGGTTTAGAAATTTGGCCACCAACATTTTGCTTTGCTTCTGAAACTGGTCCTGCAGGGCAGGTAGTAAATCAACACAAATCACTACTCTACTCAACCTTATTTTTCAAATTTCTCACTGGCCAGCATGGATTTAAGGCCTCGTCCTGTGGGGTATAATTTCCTGAATTTCAGGATCACTTCCCAGACACTCATGGCCAGGTTATATTATTTACTGAAGGGGAAGACTTTTACTTCTTGGTCACTGCAATGTGATGACTGACACAAAGCTGGAAAAATTTTAACTCTTGGGCCACCACTGCGCTTGTTCATTCTACTTTTCTGGCGATGTCCTCTTAATTTTACTGAATTTGTGAGCTCATAATTGAAGAGGATGATCCTAAGATATTCAGTAGTGAATCAAGTCGAGTCAACTGGTTGTGAATATCGTGAGAACGCATTGCATATTTACTCGTTCCTCATTTATAAAGTAAAAGTACTTCAGAAATATGTCTTTATTCACCTTCAATGCAAGATAGTCAATGGAACTTGTTCTCTTTTTTTGTGCAGAGTATGGCGAGGGACAAAAGGAATTATTATCAACATACACCAAACCAACTAAAAAGAAAATGTGAAGCACTCCTAAGATCAAAACAGAATTTCAGCGGATACCCAAAAAAAAATGGTTGAAAACATACACCGTAAATTACGATGGCTCAACAAGAACTCTGTTCAAAGAATGTCTGGAAAGTCGTCAATTTTAAGTCAACTGCAAAGTTTTCGAGCAGAGTATCTTCACTTGTCAAGAGCCTGGTATAATATCAACCAAAGTATTGTGACAGAGTTTGCTTCATTAGTTTCTCAGTTTAAGAGGTTACCGTTATAAAGGAAATTATAATTTTGCGTCACGTGACCAAAAATTTGATTCCATGGAAATTCCTGTTACTCGCTCAAGATACGGACTTTCGGAGCTGATAACGGTGAAGCTGTTAGTCGCGAAAGCCGCCGGAAACAAGTGGTGATGCTCCAAGAGAAGGGATATAATGAAACATTTAAAAAAATACAAGGAAACCTCCTCGGGCTCCACTGCCTACATGTTTGTCGAATGCCGCCAAAACCATCGTTATTTTGTGTTTTACGGGCAACGTTTTTGACAGAAGAAAACCTCCTGTTATGCATTGTACCAAAAACGATCCCTCATGACTTTGTTGATAACAGTCCTTACATATCGTTCAGTTGAAACAGTGAAAAACTATGGGCTGGTTATTTAATCGAAGTCTAACGCACGCCGCGGTTTTAGACAATCAATGGACCTCGAGATTCTTGAAAAAGAAGGAGTGAAGTTAATGCTGCGGTAAATTTTACATTGCTAACCATAAGCCTCCTTGAAATTGTTTACAAAAATTAACGTAACGGATGGGTTTGGAGTATTCTTGCCCAAAAGCGGTTAACCTTCTTTAAACACCGCCCCTTGATTCTATCACTGTTTCAAATCCATCAGTTTCGAATTCATCATATTTAAAGGGTGTTACTAGAGTTAAAAAATTTAATAAGAGTACATTAAACAGGATAATTTCAACCGTTTCCGATTCAGTTGAATGAATAGCTTTAATTTATTGAAAGTAAATCGCTGTCTGAACGAATTTTTGGTGAGCTACACAATTCATTGGGTCTTTTAACACAATCATTTGTGTCCACGAGCGATTGGTTGTGCTAATTCAACTACCCTTGACGACGCGGTAGCTTTCTTCGCAGTTTCCCTAACGGTGAATGCGTCTGGGTTAAACTGAAGATGGTCCATTGTCTCGCGTATAATTGGCTTGGACAAATTTTGAATCCTATCAGAGGCTATTGCTCGGAGAGTGTTTCTTGTGATATGCCATTCAGTCTCTCTGCATGGCAAATATCCCTCAACTGTTTGCTTGGCCTTGGAAAGCTCCTGAACACGGGCTGAGGCTACAGTGCGCATGCTGGCTGAAGATACGCGCCATGTTGGCTCCCTTATGAGCCCGTCTTGTCGAGTCTTGGGACGGGCTAGTTGTTCGGTTCGTGCGGAAGTCACGGCTCGTTTTGCTGGCTCACTTACGCTCCAGGGCACTTCCCTTCCTGGCCGATAATCAGGATGGCATCTCTTGGCATGTGCTAGTCTCAGTGTTAGTTCCCGTTCCTCGGCCGTTTTCGCTGTTTGGCTCACTTGCCAAATTGGTGAACTTCTCCCGCAACTGAAGATGTATGCCTCCCTAGAAGGAAGAAGGGCTACTTTTAAGTCTGACACTCAAGGATTGGTACTTAGAACGTCATATCATCACAGCACAAATGAATTACTTTTCTACGTTTTAGATTTTTTGCCGTCTGAAAAGTAGATCCATTCAGCACGTGATCACATGGAGGTAGCTATGGGAGAGAAATGAGATCTTGAGATGAAAACAAAAACTTATTGCGCGGCTGGGTCTCCAATTTATGTTAGGTGTATGTTCACCGGCTATTACAAAGCAATACTTTTCTGAAAGATGAAGTTCAACGGTAGAAATGAACGCGTTTCGTCTATGGACTGATCTCCACGACGAAACGAGGTTTTATTCCCTAGGAGATGTTGGGTTTGTGGTCCGTCCCTAATTCCGTCCCCTTGTAAGAACGGCGACCAGGGGTAATTCCCTTTCTCTCCCCGTCGGGAATATTTTCCAAGCATGGAACTCCTACTGGCAAACCGCAAAAGTGAAGGTTTGAAAAGAGCCATTACCTTTTCACGTTATCTGGTGTCTGCGAAAATCAGTAACACTTGAGCAGATTAAATAGGTCAAATTCATTTAATTATTGTCTATTGACGCAAATACTCAATGAAAGTCATTTTTTTAATTGAAGATCGATTCTCTTATTCCCATAGCTGATGAAAGGACCTTTCGCTCCAAAATTGTTTCCTTATTGATGTGTCTTGGCTATCGTTGTGATAAACTTATTCTCTACCTAAGGTAAAATTAGTATTCCGACAATCAAGTCACTCGTTTCATTCCAACGCAGTCCATAATCTGTTGGAAGCTCGCGATGTACAATGGGAAAGATAATTTCGTGAACTGATCTGTGTTTTGCGAATTTTCTGGTTCTTAGGTTGTTCAGTCTTTGGATAATCTATCCTTGGCCAATGAATGCTGATAACGAAATATTTTTCTTGAAGTATTCAAGATTGTTAGTTTGTTGGTTCAAGTCTGTGAGCCCTCTTCTGAATAGACCCTTATCGATTCTTAAACTACATTGCTCCTAATTGAGTTATGGTTTGGACTTGACATGGCAAAGAGAAAGGGAGATCTTGACGCCTAGCAACAACTGAAATATTTCACGATCTCAGAAAAATCTGAACCAAGAGTAAAGAGCCTTGCTATGAACATTGATTGAATTGTATGTATTCAATTAAAATACATCTAAAGTTTGCAAGCCTTTGAATTTGCTGAACGCATTCGTGCGTTCAGACAAATTCGAAGCAAAAACTTGTACCTTTAAAGATAGTTTGAAATCATGCTGAAAATACTCCTCTGAACTTTGTGTCTGTTTTTTTCGTTGTTGTGGAGGTAGCTGGTAAGCGCGGTCCATCAACAATCGGGCCCGAGCAACCGGGTTATGCAATGCCTAGCAACTTGACAATCGATGAATTTTGAATAACTTGTCGCAATGCGAATAATTAAACATATGACAATGCTATTTTTATGTGCAAATCTTCAAACTCAAAGAAAAAGCGAAAAGCAAATTTGATGTTTTCACAAACGAGAGACTGCTCGCGAGGCGACCTGTACTGAGGCGTAGAATTTTAGCATGGATTTCCCAGTCTTCACGAGCTTGTACTATTTCAAATGTGTGTAAGCCCTTACTGAAAGATATTTGGGTAGTCATGTAATTATCACCTGACTTAAGATGGCTAAATGAGTTCAAACTGCCGTGAAGCCAACCAAAGAAGTACGTAGTTAGGGTCGTCACGACCTCAACAAAGTAATGAATACCTAAACATAGTCCACAGCTGCAGAACTTAAGTTGGACAAATTTGGGCAAAACAATTTACTTCTGGTCAAATTTGAAAAGTAAAGAATCGGCAACATCATATCGAAAAAAAATCGTAGGTTGAAAAAATCAGATAAAATATTGAACAAAAGATATCACAAGTTCAGTGCAGGTTTGCCCGATTGCTGGACGTATTCTCGCAGTGCTGGTAAACAGTGCGTGCTTACCTTTGTTCTTCATGTTGGGGTGGTGATTTCTTTGGTTCTGCTAGCTGACTGACCCTTGTGGAAATATTTGCTTTTAAAGCTGAGGGTTGCATATCCCAAATGACAGAACTGCGGCCACAGCTATAAACGTATTGTCCCCTGCAATTTCCAGCAAAAGAAAGAGAGTGACGTAAGTTAACCTAACATACACATCTCTAGTATCTTACAAACTCACGAACGCGTTTGCATCACCATAAGTAGTTTAAACTATAACAATAAACATTATAACTAAAAGCAAAGGCGTAAACGTAGTAAAGTGAACGTTCTCAAATTCGTTTATTAGTCATGCAGTTAGTGGCTCAAAATGACGCCTAAAGGGCGAATGATTCTTGATAATGAATTGATGTTGGGGCTTTGCCACTCTAGATTTTCCAGGGAAACTATCGCATCCGTTGTTTGTTATTTTACTTCTAACTACGAATGAAGAATCGCACAGCATTTAGGACCAAACCTGCCTTCGGCTACATTTTTCCATCGCAAGTTGAAAATTGCTCGGTGCGTTTAGAGTATACTTCTACACAGGAAAAAGAAGTGATAAAATATAGCAGCGAAAAAATTGTAGAAAAATTTATTAGTTCGTAGTGGATATAATTGTAATTGGCATAGGCAGAGTAGACGCGTAGTTAATTGAAAGACTCCGAGAGCTGCGAGTAAGGGGTGAGATCAAATAATTCCAATCCTTTGGTTTTAAGGGCGCATGTCCTTAAGAAAAAATTAATTTTCAACTTCAGACACCAAAGACGAGGCTGTTTCACTTTCAACTTCGATCTTTTATTGAATGAGCGTTACTTGTACTGCCTTTCTTCATTTTGGTACCTCCTACGACAGTGAAAGTGCTTCGGAAGGATTGTTAATGCTTTGACACTGTATTTTATTTATGATTTAAGATGCCTAACCCATAAACAAATAAAGGAGAATGATCAACGAGGTTATGTCTACATGCAAGAATAAATAAATTTTTTATCCAGTCACAAGTTCATATGAGAGATCGTTTTCCGAAAACATGGCCGTCTTTGAACGGTGACACATCAAAAATTTAGCCAATTAGAAATTTCAACAGTAGTAAAGAAAGAACAGACAGCCTGTTTCTTCTCGATATTCCCAAGGAAATTTCTCATTAAGACTGTTACAAGATCAGTTAAAGATGATTTTGTATGTTTAAAAAGATTTGGTTCATGACAAATATCAGCCACCTCCTCATTCCTCATTTTCTTCATGGCTGTACCGTTTTGCAAGTTTTGTTTAGGCCTGATTGTATCCGTTGTGGTAACTCCACCTCTAGCAAAATTCTTGGATTTCTTGTTTATTTCATTTCGAGCCTATTGTAGGTTGGAGACCATATTGGTCTCTTACGACGTCACAGCTCTCTTCACCATTGTGCCTTTAGATGAGACTATCTACATCTTGGTCAACAAAACCTTCACAGATGATTGGTTCAACAAAATTATGGCCTTTATCTGCAAAAGGACTAGCTTGCTGAACTACTCAAGATTGCCACAACCAATCAACTTTTTCAGTTTAACGGTCAACTTTACGAACAAACAGATGGTGTGGCTATGGGCTGCCCTCTTGGCCCTCTAATGGCCAATGTCTTCATGTGTCATCTTGAAGAAAAGCTTACGCGTGATGACTTAATGCCCCATCTGTACAAGAGGTACGTCGACAACACCCTGGCCAGAATGCCTAGCGCTGCTGCTGCTGTTGTGTTTCTTGCTACTCTGAATAGCCTACAATCCAGTCTTAACTTTTGCGATGGAGCTTCCCGCTGGTAATAAGATCTCTTTTATCGGCATTGAAATCGTCAAGAACGTAACTAAACTTGAAACTTAAGTTTAACGAAAACCAGCAAACACTGGTTTGCTCTTACAATTCCACAATCACACCAATAAACGCTTTAAAGACTATTTATTAAAGATAATGATACACCGAGCCTATGCCCTATCGTCTACCACAGAGGCTTTTAATGCAGAATGCGTCAAATTGCGCTCTATTTTCAGTCGTCTTGACCACCCCTGTGGGCCTTATTGATTCCGCTATCAACAATTTTATTTTTAGGTACGGCAGGCACAGCGGAAAGAAACACCGATGATAATAGCACAGCAAGAATTAGTCTTCCATTCAAAGATCAAGTGGCCGCTGATGCGGTTCGGAAGCAGTTGCGCGATCTTAGCCATAAGATTCTCCCTACATTGCAGCCAGTTTTTGTGAGCAAGAAATTGGGGCAAGATCTTTAAACCCAAAGAAATCAAGCCGTCAATTGCTAATCGGCAATGTGTTGTTTACTGTTTCTCACGTGATCTGTGCGATGCAGATTATGTCGGGTACACAGCCCGACGCCTTCATCAACGCATTGCTTAGCACAAATATTCGGCAATCGGTCGACATTTCGTGGAAGCTCAAGGTAGCAACCACCTCTTGAAAGAAAACCAATTTAGTGTGTTAAGAAAGTGCTAGGGAAAATTTGATTGTTTAGTCTTTGAAATGCTGTTCAGCAAGAATCTCAAGCCTAATTTAAATATCCAGACGGACTCCATACGTGCCAAACATTTTGTTTAATTACTAATGTTCTTTTCTTACGGAATAGCTTTTTATCATTCATTGTTATTTTGGTATATATAGACCACAACTTGCAAATATATCTTTTTTTAACTTGGTAATGACGTTTAGCCAACGTCGAAACGTCGTCGTTTTTTAGAAATCTTAAAATGCTTTTAAGAAATGTTCTATCGCAATTTTTTTATAGTTAAATGTTTTTCAAATCATTTCTTCATCGTAGATTGTGCTACAATAAGTACGGTCGGGGCGCGCTAAGTTTAAAGAAGTGATAGTGAATTCAAAGATCAAATGATTCGTGCTAACAACTTACAATCCAGCGATATCGAATCTCATACAGATTCTCATGACACCTAAGCCAAGACACAGAAAACCTTGCGAACAATTTTCCCTGGAACAGTTGTCGCTAAACTTAATTATGGACGAATCACTTAAAGAGTCTCCTTTCAGTGCGAAAATTCCTTTTCTGTCAAAAGAAGCACGAAGCGGAGTTGTCTACAATTATACTAAGTATGGCGATGATACAAACTTAGACCTGGAGCAAAACGACTAATGTTTGTTTCGAAATTAGTTTTACACTTGGGAAATCGACTTGACTAGTAGCGAAAGGAGTTATCGCGTGATGATTTTTGGCGAAAAGGCTCTATAAGGAAATAACCGGACACTCCCTGAAGATCTGAAGATGACTAAGTCGCGTATATTGTAGAGGATTGAGATAATTTTCAATTTTTTACTTTGACATTGCGTGCAGAATTTCCAGCAGGTATGAATGTCACGGTTCACTTCAGTAATTTGAAAAGCTTTAAAGCCCACCTTTCTATTTTAAAAATCGTGTTTTTGTACCTGCTACACTTGGATGGATGGTCGAGTTGAAAATCTTTTTTCGGCGTGGCTAAGGCCATTAATCTCCCCGATGCATTTGCTGTAAGCGCTCCTCTGGAAATGGGCCACATCATATCTTGATTTCCCCATACGATCGGCCTGGAACAAAAAATGATACCTATGTAATTCTAACCAATTTGCTAAGTTATCAAGGATGAACTGCCTTTCGACGAAAAGTTTGCTAAGAGATCGATGAATCGTTTTTTTAATAAGCCTTTCAAAGAAGAAGTCAACGAGGCAAGTAAAAGCTTCCCTGGGTTTCCAAGCTAGGGCTTTGGCCAAATTGATATTGCGACAGACGTGCCACAGGTCTTCCTATTGTAACCGCGTTAGTCAAATCTTAATATTAGGTGGTATCTAATTTGTCGACGTGGAAATTTGCGACTCGCAAGTCAATTTTTACCGAGGCGGTCTAGTGCTGTGTTTGCTTCAGTGATGGTTTGGCACTACTTACCAGAAACTTGTCATCCATACCGCTTTTGATTCCTTCGGCTTTGCAAGTTTCACCAGGCGAGTACTATTTTAAATGAACATAACCAAAAATTAGACGACGAAAAACTTTTAGAGAGGCCTAAGGTTGGCAATGTATCAAACTTCCAACGAGTTAAAAACAACTTACATGCCAGTATCCCGTGTGGCTTCTGTAAAACTTGGAAGTGAATGATTCACTCGAACAACTAAATGAAAAGAAAACATGTTATGGTTGTTTCAATTCAATGAATGTTGTGTCTGCACAAGGCAACCATTCGCACTTACAGGCCACTTCTGTCATATTAAAACGGCGATTACTTCAAACTTCCCAGCGTAATTACGATCACAAAGTATTCTTCTTTATAAAAGCTTAGAAAAGCAAGTGTGGATGAGGTTCAAATACTCGCGCTTTTCGTGTGAATTCGATGCAGTTACAGTCGGTCTAATGTTCAAGGTTTTAATGATTACATTCAACAAAGCGTCTGGTTATGTTCCTATGGAAACAATGCCGCAACTTGGTGCTAATTAACGCTATCCAATGGTGCAGCGCTTTCTGGAATATGATTGGACAACTACGAGTCCAGTGAGGTTTCAATATCATTAGAAGTTTTTCTTTGTGTTTTCCAAAACCCAAACACACAAACAAAGAGCAGTCATTAAACATTGATCCTGGAAATTGCTATTCAAACAATTCTGTAAACATGGCTTTGTTTGGAAACTGAAGGAAAATTTTCTGAATGCTTAGTAAATATACTCACGAGAATGTAGGACAAATCATATTTGGATTGAAATGAAACTGATTGATGGTTTATTTTTTCTAGACAGCCGGTTCGCTGATGTCGAATGAAGTAATCAAGATTGAAAGAGAGAAATGTAATAAATTTGGCGAACTGAGCATCATGAACGCAGGTTGTCGTCGGATCATGCAAATTTACCTACTTTTGTTTGATCGCAGGTGACATTCTATATCATTGGACTCGATGTACCCTTTCAGAACATTATGACTGGATCAAATAATTGGGCTTTCTTCGACTTTCCTTGCTTCAACTTATGAGAGTTTATTTGTCTGAACTTGTTTCATGAAAAGACCCTCTGTTAAGGGAATAATTGATATCCGTTTTCTCCTAAAAGTGGGTATAAACATAGAAAAGATACTTACTTTGGGGTAATTTAACGGGTTCCTTTTTCTTTGCCTTTTCGCGTTCTGACAAAGTCAAACAAAATTAGATAACTAGTTACCAGTATAATTTTTTTGTTGATACCGTTGCTGGTGTTAGAATAACAGAAGCAGGGAAAACCAAAACAAAATGAAAGAGAGGCCTTGAGATACATTCAAACAGGGCACGTAAAATGAATGAATACATAGCTCCTGCACGAACATTTGACAAACCTTTTACTGGTGTAGCGCTTACAGTTCTTTCGGATGAAACCGACTGGGTTCGAACCGCTGGTAAATGAAGCCGTTCAGAGTTCGAAGAAGTTAGCGCTTCTTTCTTTACTGACGAGCTTCGTTTAGATTGTTGATCACTGGCTTTAGATGAGGGTTTCCTTTCAGGTTCTATCTGCTTTTGCTTCTCGTTATTCAAGTCGTCTTTTTCTTCCTTTTCAGGGCTTGTGGCTTCTGGGCCTATAGCTGTGCTCTCTCCATCTGAATTATGAATCAACACAGCAACTGTTTAATGTGAAAGTTTTGATTTCGGAGGTAGTAACTTTTGATTTAAGTTTAAAAAATCGACTTTGACTTCCGGCACAAAGATGGAGGAAGTTCACATCACTATTAAGTTATAATGTTCACGAGTTCTACGTGTGGTAACCTGGAGTCGTTAATGTCTTGTTGAAATTCTTTATTTTCGTAGGTACATTTTACTAACTTCAGAGTTTCCTAACTCGAAATTTCTTCGTAAAAGAAAAAGTAAAATTTGAGCAGGAAGTCGATCGTAGTTATCTGTTCGACCATCTAACTTGCACTACATGAAACCCCGTATCACATCGCGAGACATCCGTCTAACGTGTAAATAAATTGTCTAAAGTAACGTGATGTCTGGAAATTATTTGTTACTTACTTTTCACGATAAGAAAGAAGAAAAACCCGGAGGTATTTCACCGAATAGGACTGCACAAATAGCACCTTTAAGGTGTTTCGGCTTATTTTAAGCCGAAAGTGTTCTATTTTGCATGATAAAATGACATTTTAAGATTTAGCAACAGTCAATGTGAAGACTGAATTGCTCTCGTCAACTTTCAACACAGTTCCCACTTAAGTCTTTTTACTTAGCACCTCCTGCATCTGCTTGAGCTTTTCATGCAACCCCCCACCGCTGAATAGGCCTTCCTCGTCACCATGGCAACCAGATCTTGAGGTTTTAGTAGAGCCTAGCGCAAAATATTTATAAGGTATACGGGACGGGATCAACCCACACTTGCAGATAAATGATAAAAAATTATGTGACCTGTTACCGAGTATCATGATGTTGAGTGTGCCCTAAATTTGTTCAACTCAGCATTAGCGCAAATATGTGTTAGTTAAAGTTTCTAACTTTGGCCGAATATCGAACGAAGAAAATAAGACAGACAATGAACTGTGCTGTGCACGCTTACTTTTCTACTTTCCAACATAGGTTGTAACATTTTTGGAAAGCACGCATTCTTAAAAAATCTCCTTTACTTTGTTTTGTTTGGATTTTTTTTGACCTGACAGAGTCACAAAGCAAGTTTGTTTCTGTCTTGTCGAAGGAGAGAAATATTGCAACTTTGTTATTTAGTTACTAAGCCTGTGAAAATTTGTCCTGTATAATTATCTAAAAATCAGCGATGGCAAACCTGTAAAGAGCTCTTTGTCAGCTTATCTTCACATCTAAATAAAAATCGTAACTGGATTCTGTACTTGATTATTTATATCACTTGAAACTGCGTCGTTTAATGACTTCAAAAATAATCGGACGTCAACTTACCATTGTAAGATTCGACGTCCTCGACTTTAATCTCGTCTTTCGAATCGTTCATTTGTAGATCCATTGTAAAAGAATTCTCCCCTCATCAAAATGTTTCAAGAATTGTAAGCTTAACACTCACACAAGCCGAGACTCTTTGAACTGTTGGGTTCATAGAGACCACTATATGCGCGATTGACTAAACCAGGGCAGTAAATATTTTATAAGCTATATTTCTTATCGCTCGCCCATTGGTAAATTCGGAGCTGTACTTTAAATGACTTCAAAGCACCGTTTGTAGCAGATGTCTTTGCCTTTAATTTACATTTCTTTAATAAGCTGTAATTAAAAACGCTTTCTTCGCCTGGATGTCTGGGTTGAAAATAGCAAGGATTTTTAACCCAATCAACCAAATAAGAAGAAATTCAAGGTTTAAAGATGCCATTTAAGTTATAATTATTTCACATGTTCAAACGTTTAGTGTTGGTTTTGTTCTTCCACCTAAATTGAATCTTTAAAAGAAAACAGCTTCTCAGTTTACCGGAGTAAATCTCATTTTCATCCCACCCGTTGCACTGAGTCACACTTTTAATCCGAAACTAATCATTCTTCAATTTTCTCATAAAAATATGCAATATCGAGAAAACAGAGGCACTTTAGTAAAACTATTTTTCGAGAAGACATTATAAAATGTCATGTCTGTCATGTCTGTCATGTCATATACACTCCATAGCACAGGTTACGAATGCATTTTAGCTTGCATAAAATCCAAAGTCGGAGTAGTCAGGCTTAAGACATGTGAATAAGCTGTCATTATCAAAACAGCAAGTTATACCTACCAGTGCTCGAGAGACTTGATCTGGAGCTGGAGCGCACGGACTTAAAGCTAGAGGCTGCTAAGCTTAGATAGCTACTGTACTCTGTCATAACAGACCGCAGGCTCGGAGTGCGCTTAAGGATTAAGCTGATAGGTGTATCACACGCTGGTATGGACGCACGCGTGGACATTTGGTCGCTGCCGCTCTGATAACTAGCGTATTTCCTGAGTGGCTGTAGCCTGTTTTGTTTTATAGAAGAGCTCGCCTTGCTAATTGTATCAGTGGAAGGTCTACTATTCTGCCTTGCTCTGCTTGATTTCATGGATGACATGGACAATGCACTCGACAAAGAAGACCCTATGTTTGTTAAAGAATTTTTCCGTTTTCGTGCATTCCAAAAGTCACTTGAGGCCGAACTGAGAGAGCTTTTAATCCTCGTTTTTTGGGGGAGTTCCTTCCGTTTACGAAGTCGTTTTCGCCGAGTTGTAACATCGATATCATCAATAATACTCGTTCCTGACTTTTTAAAAGTTTCTTTCCTTCCGCCTTTTTTGTTGTTCACGGGGCGGGCCGCTGATTTATTTTTTCCTCTTTCCATATCAAAAAATGACATAATAGCTTCCTTGTTGAGGTCTGGGACAGATTTACCGCGGGCCATTTTTGGATTTTTCATAATTGATCGGGTGCTCATTCGAGACGCCATCTGGCTACGACTTACAGATCGCGCTCGTGAAAGATCAGGATCCAGTGTGAGAGTCACATGACGCTTACCATATCTTCGCATATCGGGAACAGAATTACTTGAAGTGCTTTTACCGATAAGTGGTAAATGAGGGGTTTTAGGGCGGAAGTAAGTTTCAGGCCTGAAATTCTTTGCTCGTTTTCCTGTGGTTGTGGTTTTTACTGTCGAATATTTGTCATGCCTACGAATGGCCTCAGGTGCTTCACTTATGCTGTACCCCGCTGCACTGTAATGACTCCATCGTGACCAGTTTCTTGTGGTCACGTAAGATCCGTTGCTATGCACGCTTGTAGTACCTTTGTCACGCATTCTAGTCGCAGCCGACGGTGATCGCTGTTCGGGTCCGAAAGATAACTCTGACTCATTTTCATAGTCCTCGTGATTCTGGCCACGCTCTTTCTCTTTCTTTGCTGCCATTTTCTTCATGCGATATTGATTGCTATTTAAAACGTAAGATGGCGCCGAACTTACATTGGAGTGTGCACTTCCTTTTCTTACCGTTTTCGTCGTTTTAATAGTGATTATGGACTCAGGAGTGCTTCTTGCTGAAGCAATAGTAGGAATGCTGCTGATGCTTGCATTTAAACTGCTCGTGTAGTGTGTTTGGATAGTGGTGGGAGTTCCAAATTCTCGTGTTGGAGTTTCTTCGTCGTCGTCACTTTCTGCATCACTTTCATCACTCTCATCGTCGCTTTCATCACTTTCTTCTTCAGTTTCGTCTTCATCGTCATCATCATCACTGTCTTCTTCTTCTTCTTCCTCCCGCTCATCAGCCGAGTTAAGTTCGTTTTTATCCTTTTCGCTGTCACTACTGTAGTTGATTAGTACACTTCCTTCCTCGTAATTAATTTTCGAAACGTGCGGTGTAGCGGCAGAGCTCTCGTTTCGGCTCTGCCCTTCAGGATTTCTTCGGAAAGCCTCTCGCTCTGGGCGATCTAAGGAATAAGAGTTATTTCTAGGTTTTGTTACTTTTTCGGTATCCACGTCCTTGAAGTGGTCACTGAGACTTTCCTTAAAGGCACTCGATTGTGAGCCGCACGACTGAATCCCAGAGCTTCTTCCATCTGCCTCAGTTCTCTCTGGATTCACATTTCTTTGTAAGGACTTCCTTTTCCTCTTTCCGTTTTTGAGCTCTCTCTCAAACTTTTGTAAGTTTTGGCTCGTAAGAGAAAAAGTTTTCACAGTTGTCATTTCGAGGGCTTTATTTTCCTTGTGGCTGCGTGACCTAATAGAGCAAAATCTTCTTAAACATCGACCTTCACCATTTGAAGTCACCTGTCGATCTAAAACGTAAAGTAGAAGATCAATAGAAGAGTAAAATATTTCGGAGAAGAATAATTTGTCAAAGACCAACTGAAAGTTTCATTTACCAGACTTCTCTATGGAGCAGACAATGTTTTAAGTAATCAAAACGAGTAAACCCATAATAATCAAAGCTGTGATCAGAAATCCATTGTAGTCATTCGAATCACATTATGTAGAACTGAGATTAAAGCCATAGTGCCTCATTTTATGGATGGATGGATGTTAGAATTTTGAGGTTGCAACGTCAACATTCTGCCGCCTTTGTTTGCCTGTCAAAGTGTAACATGAAAAAAATTTCGAACGATTTCGTCGGGGAATCATTTCTTAGATAACGAGCTAAACAGCCGAAATTTTAAATGGGGTCTATGGAAAACTAAATCATTTTATTTGGATAGCATTTTTTTAGAGTTTGAACTTGTATTTGCTCATGAACATCTGCTTCGTAGATATTCATCTCTTAAGTGGAAGCGGATAAATGACTAATGCAAATTGGAAGCCACACAGTGTTTATTAGACTGTTTGCTTTGTCCAGAGTAAAATAAAGTGACATGTTTTGGGAAATGACACTCTATGAAAAAGTTCAGTCACTAGAAATGAATAGAAACTGAAATTGAAAATTTCCTTAGGGATTATATAGAAGTACGATACTTGCTGAGTTATCCGAGGTAAGACTCGAATGGAATGTAAAGGAATATTGATTTATTTTGGACAGCAAAGATACAATAAATCCAGATTAAACGAAATTTACATCTAATGCGCGCAGCTCGAACTTCATCTATACCACGCAGTGTCACTCGTGAGAATGCCTAGGAACTACTAATTTTTAATTTAGGTCTAAGGTCTGCAACACCACTGAGGAAACTTAGTTCCAGTCCCATGTCAAGGTCACAAGTACCTACATTTAAAAAAGACGGCATTTCATCTGGTTTTTTTTGTTTGTTTGTTTGTTTTATATATTTTTATAACTTGTTCTTTCTCCAACATCACTTACAAAGGTTTGCATTTTATTTTAATGATAAATTCCCATCTATGGAAATTAAGAGAAAGCCATCGCCTTCCTTCGGTCAGATTAACCATTGATAATTCAGAGCACGATACAAAAGATCGAAGCTCCTTAACTGTGGTCATTTGAAGTCACACGCAAACAACGCAACGAAACGAATTTGTGATCCCTGCCCACAAATAGAGAGAAAGCACGAAATCATGTTAGAGCTTTAGGCTTCATATACGACTTCTCCAGGACACAACATGTTGTATATGTTGATTTCTCTGGTTTTCTTGCCATGGAGTACTATCACCAGTTTAAACGTCAATATCATCAACGACATCAATTAAACATTCACAAACCTTCTTTAAATTTCGAAAAACGCTTTCGACTTTTTTTGGGAGTGTAAATTTGCTTTTACAGACTGAATATGGTTAGCCTTTAAATTAGGATTGGTGTACTTTCCCTCTCTCGGTCCTCTTCAATTTTTTTCTTATGAGGGCACAGAGCATTCATTATTCGAAAAAATTCATTTTCATCAACCAGAAATTACAGACCTTCATTTGCAAGTTAATTTATAATGATTATTGATGTGCGAAAGAAGCTAGTCGTTTCTATGTGTTGAAGTCGTACTACAACAATTACCCCTAAACAAAACTCTGAAGCTTAAGTTAATCTGCCTAATTTTCGACTTTGTAAGAATTCCAGCGGAAAATCCTGTCAATCCATATTTTGTTCCGTTAAAGCTAGCTTTGATCTGATCAAATGCGTACATTTAAAAAAAAAAAAAAACATATAAGTTATTCGGACTGACTACTCATAGATAGATCAGAGACTATTGGAAATTTCAAAAAGTTTCCCAGTGTCTGAAAATTGTATGTTGTGTTAAGTCGTAACTTAAACTTACGAAAGCAGCCAAAGACAAGCTGGCGAACACTATATGTAAATGATACAGTGTTCCATACCACAATTTCTTTTCCCTTTATAGTTTACAAATCTGAGAAACTAGCCATGAAGACCTCGTCGTAACTTAGTCACGTTCTAAAACAAAGGAACGATTGAATTGGCTCGGTTTCACTAGTGTGTGTTTTGCCTTGGATTAAATAGACGCGCAAATTCTTTCAGGAGCATCTGTCACTCACATTCACATTCACAAACGCAAACAAATAAAGCAGAACCCTTACCCTCTGGTGCACTTCATCGCAGAAACTTTCAGCTTCCTTAACTTTGCATATGAAACGATCGACTCTTCGCAGCTCGCTACAATATCCCAATCAAGCCGGTAACCATGGTGCAGCTTAAACTGCTTTGACAATTGATTCATTACTGCTACGAAGGGGCAGATATGCAAATATCACACCATTTGACAGACGCACCTGTTAAACACGGATTGGTAGTAGTAGAGGCTTTGGCAGGTGTACACAAAGAAAACCCAAACTTAGAAGCTAACATGATAACATTTCAAATGTGACGAACGCGAAGATGCGGGTTGACGACAAAACAGGTTTCTCTTGACATACTGGGTAAAAGCGGTGTTCCAGTCAGTTAATTTTTAGTGCCCTTCACTATATAAAATCTCTTCACAGGTTGTTGAAGGGATTTTTCATAAAAAGTTTTGGAACCATTCGTCGTCTACGTTGAGGGAGGAGTTAGGGGAAACGAGTAGAGTTTAGTGTTTTTTCAGAAGTAAAAAGTACGGACCTTCTTTCCTCCTCATGTCATCATTAGGTTCAGTGGACAGTTAATTGACGGGGATCATTTGATATCTTTGAAAGTGACAGTAAAAGCAACATTAGGGGTAATGATAGCTAAGTGGATGAACGGGTCACTAATAAGCCATGACAAATGAAAATACAACTCTGTGTACAGGGTGGTGTACCCCTAAAGATGAAAAGAGGAATGTTCAAAGTACTGTATTCACTACCTTTCTTTTTTCTTTTTTTGACTATCGTGGAATAAATGTTCCGTTAGTAGCTGCAATGACAAAGACGTGGATTTTTCAAATAAACTGTTAGTAGGTGAGCATTTTTTTCTATATTTTGAAAGGGAGGGCTTAAGAATTTCAAATCTTGCATTCCCAAGTAATGCATGTTTTGGAATTCAATACACCCGAATTCCACCAAAAAGCAAGTAACTGAGAATTTAAGATGGAGTGTGGAAGCAAGTTTTGAAGAATATCAAATATTTTATCACAAATTAGTACATGTAAAGAAATCAATTCACACGAATCACCCTAGCTGAGTAATATTAAGTATTTTTATCATTTTCTGTGTTTGATTTAGCGAAGTAATTGGTATGGTAAGGGTTTTTTAATTCCGAAGTCATTTTGGTGATTGTTGTGTTTTCTGTATTACCAAACGAGACTTAACTCATTAAAAATTAATAAGTCGCAAGTGATCACTACTTTTATTTTCTTATGCAGTTCAAAACTCATTTTCGTTTTTACGCCAGTGAGTTTTAGTGTTAGTGAAAGTATCAAACAAAGGCGCTGGTGGTAACGTCGATTAGTGGTGATAATTTTAGACTTATCCCACCTAATTGTATGGTTGGTTAAGCATGTGTGCTCCGACTAAGCTGAATTTTCTTTTCGCAAATGATGCTCTTTTAAACTTGTACCAAACTGACGTTTGGTCTGTACGATGTACTTGTGATCACAATTATTGCAGAATGGAATAAATAGCGTCGGTTCGTTGTTCTTTCGTGACAGGATCCTTAGGTTTGGCAAAAATATGCCCTAAAGTCTGAAAAGGTTTTTGAGAAACTTTAATGTTTGCCTTATAACCTGAACGTAAGGTAAAGGACTCGGCGTTCCCTCATTTGATTGTTTGGCTCTTGACTTGTTGGCGATCGCCAAAGTCTTTTTATTCAGTTTAAATCGCTGCAAATCGAAGTCATCCTCTGCACTTGTTATCTTTCCTTTGCCACATGGATACGTTTTTCTTTTAACGATTTCGATCGATCGCATTTGGCGATTGATCGAACGATTGAAACGGCAAAAAACGACAGACATGAAACTCTCCATTCTATTTTCGCTGAAAGTGACAGGCCTGAACTTTCTGCAGCTGACTGCTACTATTATAATTACAAACTGGCTGTTACCGGAACTTGGTGACAATCAGATGTACAGTTAACTCTCTGTTAGACATATATCTATGTATTAAAACTTCCAAGTATTTGAAATATCTACATATGAAGCCATCGCAAAAAGTCCAGTTATTATACTTGACACAGTTTAAGGCACACAGAATGTTTGATAATGTTCAGAGAGCTTTTTGTCCGCTAAAACGTTAATCAGTAATAGAACCGTAGAACGCATACACGCTATATTTTGACTCGCGATAGGGAAAAAACAGATGACCTCTTCCCGTAATCGATACACCGCTATTGCTTTCAGTGCGACGTTAAAACCCCTTGCTAACACTATTGAAAATTATTGTATTCACCATGGGTGAATGGTATTTCGTGCACGCGCTGACTGGTTAATTCGGAAGTGAATAACAAGTACTATTCACCTCCGAGCAACAGATAAGACAAAATCGCACGGTAAGAGTTTGACTTCCGATATTTGTTCGTAACTGTAAATAGTGCGTAAACTGTTGTAGTTACCTTTCTTAGTCTTTTGTTTGATTGTTATCTACGCGTGTGTTGAAGCTGATTAATCTTGAAAAAGGCGAAATTCCTTTCTAGCCAATCGCTGTTATTGAAATGTACCAGATAATTCATAAAATGAATTAATCCATTAGACAATTCATGGCAATATCGGTGCACCGGTATTGCAGAAGTCATGGGTTCAAATCCCGTACAGGCCTGAATTTTTTTACGCCTTATTTTCACTACTACATATTATAAGCAGTGTTAATAACTGCGAGGATCCCTTACATATTCGTTTCTTCAACCGCAGTTTACATATATGAATTTCATATATTTACAGTCAAAATGGACCGTCTCACTCAAGTCTCACTCAAGTCTTAGCAAAGAAGTTGTACTTCATATTATTCACAAACTCAAAAGAGAAGAAATTGAAAATTTGTAAAACTAAGAATTTCAGAACCGTCGACAAGACTTTCAAGATGCGAAGTTATCTCCTTAATGTATTGGTGATTATAGAGGCGTTCACCCAATGTTCGATTGAATCTCTCAACTATTGCTTGTTCTCTGCGAACGTTGACATTTCCTCTTCTTATTCTAAGGCCATGCTTTTCCATCTCTTTAGTGACATCACCCATGAATTTATGTCCAGGATCAAACTGAAGAACCTTCGGTCTTTTAAGAGGGCCTCGCCTATAAATTGTCTGAAAAGCCTTTGAAACTTGAGAAGAATATTTCGAAGTCAGCGGTCCATCCGCTTTGAATCTACTGCGATATCGACAACTGTCAACGTATACTTATAGACCTTCCTTCCCCTCAGGAGTCTATCATGAGGAAGGAAAGGAAGATTAGCTTGGTGAACTGCATTCGGTGACTCAACATCACAATTCCACCCAGGAACACTACCAGAAGAAGATGAACCAAATACTAGAAGGCATAGAGGGACAAATATCTTCTATTGACGATGTGTTTATACATGGTAAAACGCAAGCTGAGCATGACAGAAGACTCAAAGATGTACTTAAGAAACTTGAGAGTGCTGGAGCAACTCTCAATGCTGAAAAATGCGCATTTTCAAGAAGAGAAGTCAAGTTTGCTGGGTATGTTCTTGACTAAGATGGAATTATGTCCGATCTGGAGAAGACAGATTCTATCGCAACATGGATCCTTCCCAAAATGTGAGTGACGTGCGCAGACTCCACGGTATGGTAGACCAACTGGGAAAATTTATTCCTCATCTGGCAGAGAAGACAAAACCAGTAAGAGATCTTCTTTGCTCGAAGAATGAATTTCCATGGGTACTCACACAGCAGAGTGCCTATGAGAAGTCGAAACAGGAACCAACTTCAACCTCAGTTGTCGCATATTACGACCCTACCAAAAAGACAATACTGTCTACCGATGCTTCATCTTACGGATTCGGCGCAGTCTTACTACAAGAAGAGAATGGAATCAAGAAACCAATAGCGTTTGCATCAAGATCCATGGCTAGTACGGAACAGCGGTACGCACAAATCGAAAAAGAGGCACTCGCTACTACCTGAGCGTTTGAAAAGTTAAACGATTACATCCTTAGAAAATAAATCCTCGTTGAAACAGACCATAAGCCATTGGTTCCACTATTTGCCTCCAAGAGTTTGGATGAACTATTCCCCAGAATACAGAGATTTAGGATGAAACTGATGAAGTATTCTTTCACCATCTGTCACATCCCAGGAAAGGGGTTAGTCGTAGCAGATACCCCGAGAGAGTTTGTGATCTTAGTGTTTGTGGTCTTAGTGTTAATCTATCACTGACATGTCACATAAACGAGACGTGTAAGAAAGCAACTAACACCATCAGGTCCATAGGTCGCATTCGCAAATACATCACGAAGGAAAAATCTCAAACTGTTAGTTAATGCGCTAGTAATACCACGTCTGGACTACTATAATAGTTTCCTTTATGGTCTCCCAAAACAGGACCCGGATAAACTTCAAACAATTAAAAACACTGCAGCACGTCTCATCACTGGAACTAAACGATACGAGCATATCAAACCTGCCCTTCGAGAACAACACTGGCTACCTGCTGAGTCTCGGAATATATTCAAAGTTCTGCTCATCACTTTCAAGATTATTCATGGACTTTGTCCAGCCTACTTTTCGTCCCTCCTACAACAATACCACCCGCTACGAAGCCTATGCTCATCCTCTAAACTACTTTTCACTGTCCCTACTGTGAACTCTGTGACATACGGTGAACGTGCCTTTTCTTTCTCCACACCCATATTAAATAACAGTCTACCGGATTCTGTTAAAAATACAACATCTCTTTCATCTTTTAAATCTGCCCTTAAAACATTCTTATTTCGGAAATTTTATTTTGATTTATTTGACGAGGAACTGTACCTAGCTTTCATGTCCGCTAATTTTTAATTAATTATTTCATTCAGTTATTTATTAATGTTATGAGAAACATTTTGTGGGTTTTAACTAATTTATTTTTTCTCTGTATCTGTAATTTGTAAAATATTCAGTAGAAACAACCATCAGCGTCCGCTTTAACTTAACGCCAACACTTCCACTCCTACTTTCTCTAGGAGCATGACAAAAACAATAACCATTTGGAATCAAATTGCCTATTGTAATTCGATCAA